GCTGCCCGCCCCGAGCAGAGTGGGCATCGCCCACCCCCTGCCCACCCCGCTTCCCCCCCGGGGTCCCTGCCCCGTTACAGATCTTCGTAGTTGCTTTATCCAGCTTTTCAACCTGACACTCGCTTTGTTTCAAGGGCCTCACGAACACACAGGCTTTCACATTCCTGTCTTAACGGGCCTTGTTTTCTGGGCCATTTGCCAAAAGCAGGCCAGGCGGGCACCCTCACACTTAGGTATGAATTGAAGTCTATACAGACACATTGTTCTGTTAAACACATGCAGCCACAGTTGCAAAAGGGAGGGCATATTCGTGCCTGCGGGATTACGTCTATTTTTGCATTTTCATTTTTCAGTTTGCCCATTATAGCAGAATATCACAGTGAAGCTACATATATAATATAGGGAGCAAAGTAGACAACAATTTTATCAGCATAATACCAAGAATTTCTATCAGTAATTGAAACTGAGTTACACTAGTCAAAGCAAAGGAATACAATGTATTTCCTGAGGCAGTATAGTTGCCTTTTTACTGTGTATATTCACCAGGGGTGAAACTCAGCCCTCTGCAGTCAAGGCAGCAAAAAGCTAATCAGATTCTTCAAATCCACTCCAAGATCCATTATAAAGAATTAAGTGGCACTTAAATGGTACATAGGCTTTGTGCAGACCTTCTGCAAAGAACTGAATTTCATCTTAAGAATCTGGGCTGACACTACTTTGCATGTCCTCAGAAGGGCTGCGCCCCTTCACTTAAAACTGAAGTTAATAGGAACTGACGGTGCTCAGCACATGGTAGAATTGCTTTCCCGGGTACTACCATTTGAACTGGAGAACAAATGGAGTCTATCCAAGGGATTTTCATACGAACAGTTCTGAGGTGTTGCAGGCAAGCAGAGGTTATATGAACACGACGCCAAGCTACCCACCAAAGTGTTTTTAACTGTTTTGTAAGAGAGAGGAATTCACAATGGATTTCCACTTATTAGTAAAAATAAATAAACAAAAGTCTCTATTCATGATCGGTATAGTCCAATTTAAGACTGTTCAACTGAGTAGCGTTTCAGAACACCACAGATTATTTTCTGCTAAATACTGCAACTAGATATGTTTTGTCACTAATCTTCTCACCTGGTTTAATATTACATATATTTTTTCCTATAGAAAACCAGCTTTATTTTCTATACTTTCTTTTCACACATTCACTCTACATTCAGGCAGTTATCAATTGCTGCATCTCTAGTCAATCTCATAACTGAAAATCATTAATTTTTTGTAATAACAAAAAAGTGAGACAAAGCTTGTTCAGCAGCAGTAAATGCAAAAACTTACAGCTATATAAAATATGTTAGATTAAAACAGTCAGATTGTTAATTTCTTTTCTCTTTTTTTTTTTTTTAAATGTTGGAGAATGAACTTGGAGATAAAAGTAAAAATGTTTTTGGTTTTGGTTTTTTTTTCATCAAATAAGAATATTGATTAAAACAGCATTTGGACACTGAGACTTATGATTTCATAATACATCGTGCTCCTATGCCTAAAAGGTGTTGTGTGAAATGAATATTTACAAATCATAATGAAAACCATTGTACAAGAACCTAAATAAAGTTAAAAAATAGATGGCTTAGTTGATGTTTATCAGTCAATTCCAGATGTCCTAAGTAGCGAATGAAGATTCTTTGTAGTGGGGATCAGGGAAAATTTCTTCTAAGCTGAAGCAGAATATACCATTTTGAAACATGCTTCTTAAATGAAAGCTTAGCTCACCTATACTTCTTATAGAATGATGTTCTCCTTCATGTTATTTTTTTCAATGATAACTTGTAGCACTTAATGAAAGATGTAAAGTATGCATTGGATAAAATATTTCCTTATTTATTTTCATACATTATTTCACTGTTCTTTTCCTTGAACTTTGAAGAAAGCTGATCAGCATAGCTGATTCCCAAAGTTCAGAAATGCCTTTGAATTCATCAGTTTAGATGTAGCTAGACATTTATCCTAGTGTTCCTCTCTTACCCTATTAACT